CACTGTGGTGAGGGGTCATTGAGGGGGGAGGGGTCACTGGGGGAGAGGTTTTCTGTTGTTCAGGTAGTCTCGGATCTTGGGGTTGCTGTCCACTCGCTCCGTGAGAGCTTTGACCACGGGGAAGTTGTCTGTCACTGTCGGCTGGTTTTTGCGCAGATTGCGCAGGAAGTCGAAGAGGGCCAAGTCAGCCAGGGTCAACTGTGGAGGTCAGCGGAAGTGAGCAGAAGTGAACGGAAGTGAGCAGGTTTGAAACGAGCCAAGAGGAGCAGAAGTGAGTGGAAGTGAGCAGAAGTGAGCAGAAGTGATAAGAAATGAGCGAAGGTGACCGGAAGTGAGTGGAGGGGAGCGGATGTGAGCAGAAGTGATCAGAGTTGAGTAAGAGTGAGCAGAAGTGAGCAGAAGTGAGCAGAGGTGAGCAGAGGTGAGCAGAAATGAGCAGAAGTGAGCAGAAGTGAGCAGAGATGAGCAGAAGTGATCAGAGTTGAGCAGAAGTGATCAGAGTTGAGCAGAAGTGAGCAGACGTGAGCAGAAGTGAAAGGAAGTTAGCAGAGTTGAGCGAAAGTGAGCAGAAGTGAGCAGAAGTGATCAGAGTTCAGCAGAAGTGAGCGGAGACGAGCAGAAGTGAGCAGAGGTGAGCAGAGGTGAGCAGAAGTGGGCATAGGTGAGCAGAAGTGAAAGGAAGTTAGCAGAGTTGAGGAGAAGTGAGCAGAGGTAAGAAGAAGTGAGCTAAAATGAACAGAAACAAGCAGATGTGAGCAAAAGTTAGCAAAAGAGGTCAAACGTTAGCATAAGTGGTCAAAAGTGAGCAAAAGTAAACAAAATAAAGCAGAAGTGAGCAAATGTAAAAAGAAGTAAGCAAACATGAACAGAAGAGGGCAGAAGTGAGCTAAACTGACCAGAAACAAAGCAGATGTGAGCATAAGTTAGCAAAAGTGGACAGAAGTGATTAAAAGTAAGCAAAATTGAGCAGAAGTGAGCAGGCAGGCGTTTGGACTTACAGAATTTCCAACGAAGTAGCCGGTGTTGTTTTTCTCTAGCAGGTTTTTGAAGAATCCCATGTACTTGGGCAGATCTACATTCAGGTAGTTCTTGACTAACTCCGCCTGGAGGGGAGGGGAGGGGAGGGAGAGGGTGAGAGAGGGAGAGGAGAGGGGAGAGGGAGGAGAGAGGGAGAGGTGGAGGGGGGGGAGGG